GAATGAATGTGAAAACTTTAATTTTAAGTAGGTAGGATCCAGGAAAGGCATTAGACTTCTTGCTTCCACTCCGGAGTGGAAATTTCGCCTCCTGGTTTATACAGAATTGTTACAAAATTTGATCATCTCATTCTATATTATATTTGATTTGTTAATTTATTTTGTGACTATTCTGTGATCTTTATTATGTATCATGATTCAAAGGTATTTGCAACCATTTGAAAAGGTATTTGCATCTACTTCGATTTTATCTCGAACGAGATARARTCGAATCAAATTCGCAAATTCTTTGATGCATTTGATACTTAGTTTTAAGTATTTCAGGATTAGCACTACGCACTACCGCGATTTCCTCTTACAGCTAGAAATATGTGATATAATTAAATATAATTAATTAATGAAATAAAAGTATTACAAAAAAATGCATTACAATTATTGCACTATTTATTTCAACTCGATTTTATTACTCGACGTTAAAAGTGCGAAGTGTTATTAGGTCATCGAGGGAAATTATTATCTGCTTGGACATTCGATTAAATGTTCTCGTGTATGGTCAATGAACTCTAAGTTCATTGGTGGTCCACGAGGTAGAAAAGTGATCGCGAAATGTAAATTAATTTTGTAATAATTGAGAATTAGAATCATAACAAAATACGAGTTTATTTGCAAAATTAGTATGAAAGATCTTATCTTGCTTGCACRTAGGAAATGTCCAAATGCAGTTTTCAGGGAATGAAGAAAGAAGAGGCTTAATGCCGAAGAGGCCCCCACTTAATTGTGGCTCAAGAGGGCAACTACTGAGACTATTGAGTTATTTTCAAAGGTTCAACAGCAAGTTTGAACCTTTAGAGAATGGCTCTCTAGTCATATTTTATATTTTATTGTTTTACTTTTTTGCTCGTCATTAATTTCTAGTTGTAATTGGAGATGATGGACCATTCCATCTCCTTGGGACACCAAATTCGTGTCTATATCGTCAAAAAGATGCATATGTGTTTAGTTAATTAGAGTCAATAACATTAAAAATTTCCTTACTATTAAATTTTGAAGCTTAATTAACGTTCGGAAAATATTATATTAAAGTAATTTCTCTTTTCTCATTTCGTTTTTAAGATTTTTTACTCTGTAATCGTATTTTATATTAAATTTGTAATTTTTTTTTTCTATATAATGCAGTTTACAAGTACTTTATTATAATTAATAGATTTTTTTCCTTTTTTCTCTAACTTAATATGTTTATTTTTTTTCCTTTTTATATATATATATTTTATTTAAATGTAAAATCACGCGTTTAAATTTAAAATTATTGCAACAGTAGATAGAGATTTGATAAAAATAAATAGATAATTCAATTGAAAAGTGCATCTACGAATTGGACGATTCATATATTAGGCTACTTTATATCACTTGATTGTATGATTAATATAGTTTTCTTCTTGTTGCAGGTGATCATCGTTGGATTTAACAACAAAACCTTTCAGATTTTCTTCTATTTGAATGCCCTAAATGATTAGTTTTTTATTATATGTTTTAATGCATTTCTGAAGGTACACACATGAACACTAAATAATTAATATTATTATTTAATATTCTGTAACGATTATTATTTCAAATATTTATGGAAATGTATCAGAGGTTTTCAATTTTTTTTTGAAATTTTTTATGGTTGGATATAATGAATCTATTTGTCGTCTTGCTTTGCTTTGCAGACGTCCATAATTTTTTTTGTACTCTTTTTTCAGCTATATTTTCCATTCAAAAAAAGGTAAAAAGGATAATTTTATTCTGTAGTTACGAAGTATGAACAATAGAAAAAAATACTGTACACTATCAAGAATACAGTGTTGTTTGATAGTATTGTACAGTCATCATTTTAAATTCCTACTATCGCCCACTGATGGTTACGGTATTAACTATTATGAATCATGTTAGGAAAGAAGTGCACTTGTAATGTATGTACTTCATCTATGTAATTTTGTAATCTTTGCTTTTTATTATAAAATGTTAGGAAAGTAGTTATCTCAAATATTTTTTTTTTTATAGATGTTATATAATTTGAATATAAATTCTTATTTTATTGATTTTAAAGTAATACTTATTTTGTTCTTTAAAAGATATTTTATATATTTAATGCAAAATGATTTATACCGATTATTGTTATGTAATAAGTGATTCTATGCATATGATAAAAAAGATACATATCGTATCGATTAATTAACCGCGATATTTTATTTCGATATCAATTATCGATTTCATGCTATTTCGAAAATGTTTTTTTAAAATTTTATACCTCAGTAATATTGATGGATTACTTTCCTGTTTCCAAATTGATGTTAAATAATAATATTTAAACGATCATTATGATGATAACAATACAAGGAAAAAAGTGATAATTTTGTAGCGTGAGTAGCGTTAGTAGCGTTGCATGAAAAATAAGTTGTTTTTTTTTACGAGCACATTAGATAAAAATGGTTACTTATAGATTTTATATCTTAGATTATTTTATAGATAAATTATGGGGGAGATAACCATTATACAGATATTCTCGTAAATTAGAAAAAATAATTTTGATCATTGATCTTGCTTATTAGATCTTGATAATAATAATAATAATAATAATAATAATAATAATAATAATAATAATAATAATAATAATAATAATAATAATAATAATTAAATAATATCAATATCTCTTATCACGTGTCAACAAAATTCTAGATCATTTAACGGGTGTTTATAATTTTTCTCGATTAAATTTACTTATTTATTTAATAAATAAAAGTATAAATAAAAATCTTTAAATAAATTATTGAAAATATTTATTCAATTCTATATATATATATATATTTAATATATAATTGAAATAATAATTTAATATAATTTAATTTATTATCTAAAATAAATGAAAACAAAAAAAAGATTTTCTATTTTATAATTAGTTTTTGTTGGATACGAAGCTAACACGAAGAATTTATTCTATGCGCAGTCGCACAACCCAATGTTGACCATAAAACGTTGATTTTGCCTTCGAGATATTTATTTCAATTCTAAAACTCGTGAAGGTCGGCACGTGCACGACTACTATTGCTTCTAGAAATAAAAAACATTTCAATAAATTTCATAGAATATCCGTGAAAGGATATTTTTTATAGACAACGCGATCATTTGTATTCTTTTGTATATTGTTTTCAATAATTTACGCGAATCGCGAGTGATTTTTACGAATGGTTTTTTTCCTTTTTATTTTATAAATGCCGCTTAATTATTGATGGAAAATTATTTTTGTTTAAGTTAAACTGTGATCGTGTGTGAGTCATCAATTAGATTATTTATTGTTTAGGAAGATTAGATATTCTTCGTGTCAGATATTTGGTTTTTTTTTAATTATTATTTTATTATTAGTTTGAATCGTGCCCAGTAAGTATATATATGTGCCCATAATTATGAAAGTGGTCTAAGTCATGTATCTCTTGTTTCGAGATATTTCAAGATTTCTATTTGAACATTATATGAATTCTATGTAATATTAAGAAAACAAATATTATTTAACGATTAACGATTTTTGACAATATCGGTTTCAAATTATATTGAATTTATTTAGTTTAAAATAATGTGCTGCATAATAACTAATAAACTCATTTTTTTTTTTTTTAATTTTGACTTAGACCACTTTCATAATTATGGGCACGTATATGTATGCATGTTAATATATAGTTCCATTTCATTTTAAGTGAAAGTTAAATTTTATATTGGTAATCAGCACCGTACTCGAGTTGCATTTATTATACTTCGCCACATGTATTTATTTTCGCTCATATAATACTTTTACATTCACTTATCAGCACTTGTCTCCGCATTAAGATTTTGATAAGAAAATAAATATGGAAGAGAAAAGAACAAAGAAAGATCTTTCAAAGAAACACAATTCGAGATTAGTTAATTATAGTTTTTAATAAAGTGTTTTTTTTTTTTTTTATATGACAATCATTTTATAATTACATTTTTCGAATACTTTCGAGAGATTAGAAATTGGCATGATGTTTTTTTCCTTTTAGCAAATGATAAGTGAATGATAATTACTGTTTTCTTTGTTGTTTATATTCTTTTTCCTTCAGAGTTTCACAGTAAATAATTACGATATTTTTTTTTAATATATACTTTTTAATACTTATATATATATATATATTTCTTTTTTTTTAAAATATTATTTTTAAAATAAATCTTACACTACATTATTATTATTATTATTATTATTTTTTTTGTTTTTGTTTTTAAATGCAATTTCATGAATATTAAATTACGTTATATTTTTAAATTAAATTATCTCATTCTACAAAACCTACTCATATGTATACACACACACACACACGCGCGTTTGTTAGTATCCATTATTTTATAATATCACAATTATTGCGAATTCACTCTGCACTTCTTTTATGTATATATTTCTCAAGAGAATGATACCAATCAGTTTAATTTTGTAATCGTCAATTTTGTAATCTTGGTTAGTAATGAAGACAGTTTAAATGTAAGTGACCCAGTCTTGACTAACAAAATAACAGACAGTAGTTCACTTCAGAGTCATTATGCGACTTACGTTCGAGATATCGAGGAATGTTTCCTTATGTCGTCATAGTTTTTCTATTTTTTTCTTTTTCTTATTATCATTTTAAAAGTCAAGGTAAACGTAAGAGAATAGAATGGAATGTGATAAGATGAGGAGGAAGAGAAGGAGAAATAGTAGGAAGAGGAGGAGGAGGAGAGGAAAAAAGTTTAATGGGAAAGCAAGAACAGTCACGTTTCTTTTGTGCATTCAAAAAAGTTTTTACGATCATTCAAGTATGATTTCCTTTTACCTTCAATTATGACCATCGATTCGTATACGTGATTTGCATTAATTGTTTCTTCGAGTATATAATATTTCATTAATATTGTTCCATTTTATTTTTTATTTTTTTCTATTTAGTGTCACGCATAAATTGATTTATCTTATTGAGGATGAATTTCTTTTTATATCATAATCACAGTCGTGTATCATTTTATCATTTTATTTATATCGTTAAAAAAATCTTTATTATTATTATTGAATTTTATGAAGAAAATTGTATTTTTTTTTTTCACATTTAGAAAATTGTCTTATCTCTCGTTAACGTCATCTTATCTTTCTAATGGACAGTTTCACACCTGGATGGGAGTATTAATAAAAAAATAACAAAGTGTTATCTTGTTTGCAACAGATGGATTTGCGATAAGCGATATATAGAATTGATCGAATTTTCGTTGAGTTTATACGAACGAAAGTAGAACATTAAATTTACTTGAAGAAGAAGAAGAAGAAGAAGAAGAAGAAGAAGATAAAACAAGATTGTTATCTAAAAGATACTGCTTCAATCATCAAAATACGAAAGTGTATATCACGATTACTTCGATCATTTTGTAACCTTTGAAACAAGATATGTAAAAGGAAAGTAAATAATAAAACGTGTTGAGGGGATGTATAAGAGTACAAAGAAGAAAGTTCTTTGAGAAAAAGAGAGGGAAATTTCTTGAAGGTCTCATTTACCGTTAGTTTCGATTTACGAAATGGTTTTACAGTCGTTCAATCTCATTTCTTCTCGAGACGAAACAACTGTTGCTTGAATTGTGCTGTTTATAAAAACAAAGATTTTATCGTGAACAAAAGTTTATATATATATATTTTTCTTTTTGGCTTGTGAAAAGTGAAGAATTTTTTCTTAATTATTCTACAATATTTAGACAAAATATTTACAAGTTATTAATAAATAATTAATTTGGAATAAACGAATTTTTTCAAGTATTTTAAAATAAACGTTCAAAATTTAGAAGTAAAATGAAAGAATACACAAATTATCTTATACGAATTAAATTTAAATTCGATATTTAAAAAAACTATTGTTACATTTGTTATCTGAAAAGCTATTTGAAAGACTGTAAACAGGTTTTTAAAAATAACCAGACAGTAATATACGTGCAATGTGTTAAACAAAAAAATAAATACGTTTATTGAAAGTACTCAGTGTCAAAGAAGATAAAAGATTGACGTTGACTATATTTTTAAATAAAATATAAAAAGAAAGAAGGAAGGGCTCGATCCCTTATTAGAAATTTGGTTGAAAAGAGAACATGGCAAAAAAAGGTGTTTCAGAAAGTGAACGTAATGAAGTCTTTGAAATCGATGAAGAAACTACAATTACAAGGACAAAATGGCGAAATCTTGTTGCATTTTGGATACTCGGAATGAGTAACAATTATGGTTACGTCGTTATGCTTAGTGCTGCTCATGATATTCTTGCCAGTAGGTTTGGTACTTTGGTAAGTTTATTTTTTAAACAAAGAAGTTTAAGTTTAGTTTCTTCTCATATATTTGCATTTTTTTATTTGAGGGAAAAATTCTTCTGTAATATAAGTAGAGTGAATTAAAGTATTTAAATAATTGTTAATTAATCGATGCAGGTGTCTATTTTTACCTGAAAACACCAAGTATAGGATGTCCTTCAAATTGGCATTTTACCTTCTACGAAAATTCTTTTATTAAATATTGTTTATATGACTTTTCAAACGTTGCACATGTGTGTAGTGCAGTTGAAATGCCAGTCTGAAGGTGAATTTCGAAGAAGAAGGTGCATCAATTTTTTTTWTTATTATTATAGAACGAAACAAGTGAAACTAACGGAACAGAAATAACACGAGAAAGAGCATGCAACAGTGTATCAACCGGAGTGATACTTTTAGCTGATATTTTACCATGTTTGGTGATTAAAATAATCGCACCCTTTTTGCCATTTTTCGTTCAGTGAGTATATGATTTTGTTTTTAATTTTATTTTACACATACACGTTACTTAATCTTTGTTATTATTTTATTAAAATATTTTTAAACCATCGTTGGATGGTTCCATAAAGTTATATTTGTTACGAAATAGTTTAAATATAATCCTATAATCGTCAGATAATTTTAATCAACCATTTATCGGATTCTTAAATTATAAATAAATTTATTCTATTTTAATTTTAATCAGATTTTTAAATAACTTTTTTAAAGTAAAAAAAAAAAAAAAATAAAACAAAACAAAAATATAATAAAATCAAACAAAATATTTATAAATATTGTGTTAAGAATAAATAAATCTAATTATAAACTTAGCACGTCGATGGAATTTCGGCAATAATTCTAAATCACAATCTGGGTATTACGTTAATTTAATATTCCAAAAAATAATTCTAATCGATATATTCGAATGACGTTAATTACAGTGCTCGAATGGCTACCTGTGTCTTTTTTTCCGCTGCAGGATTTATATTGGTGTCATTGAGCACTACAAAATGGCTCGCCATTATGGGTGTCGTTGCTACATCTATTTCCTCAGGATTGGGTGATGTTACTATGATTAGTTATAGTCATCAATATTCTAAGTAAATTCATTAATATATCAATAGTACATATAATTATTGAAATGACAAGAGATTTTGGTAATTATTTCATTGTTTTATTACAATTAGACAAGTTATTTCAACATGGTCGTCGGGTACTGGAGGTGCTGGTCTTATAGGTTCCCTCTCATACGCGGGTTTAGCAACATGGTTAAAAACATCGGATACTTTGTTATTGATGTTAATTGTACCATGTATCCAAGCTATTACATTTTGGTTCCTTTTGGTTCATCCATCTAATACGAATCATAATTTCGTTAAAAGTAGTACAGGAAGTCAGGATCAAATTATCGAAACACCAACTATAAATTTCAAGGACAAAATACGTTTGATTCCTGGATTATTAAAATACATGATTCCATTAGGACTCGTTTATTTCTTCGAATATTTCATTAATTATGGCCTGGTAATTTGTTTATCTCATCATTTTTAATCATTGATTTATTACGTCTTATTGTTTATCGTTCAAGTAAATAATTTTTATTAAGTTCGTTTGTTCATTCGTGTATTTTATTAATCATGGTGCATTTCTTATTTTTTTTTTTTTTCATAGTACGAGTTACTTCAATACGATAATATATGGTTGACGTATTATGAGCAATATAGGTGGCTTCAAGTGGACTATCAGATTGGAGTATTCATTTCGAGGTCATCGGTAAATCTAGTTACTTTTAATAAGATCTGGATCATGGCTGTTCTTCAGGTAACAGAATATATTTCACGATGGAATTATATACAACGTGATATTATTATTTGCTTTCTTAATCAGTAATTCAATTCTTTTTTATTTATTAAATTTATTTATTTTTTTTTTTCTTTCAAATGATTATTTGAAAGAAATTTTATTTCACATTAATTTTATTTCATTTCAGTTCGTAAACGTCATGATTATACTTTTCGAAGCTATATTTTATTATATTCCTAATTTTTGGATCGTGTTCGCTGTTGTCCTATGGGAAGGTTTTATCGGTGGTAGCGCCTATGTTAATACTTTTTACAGAATGTCAAATGAGGTATATTTATATTTTTTCTACTTAAACATTAATTTAAAAATATTTAATTAACGAATATTACAACCAAAAAAAAAGAAGAACAAAAAGAATTTATATTATTTGTAATTTATTTAGGTTCCATTAGCAGTTAGACAAATTTCATTGGGAATAGCAACAATGGCGGACGCTATTGGTATCGCATTTGCTGGTTGGTTGGCAATGCCAGTGCACAATGCAATCTGTGAATTACCAAAACCCATAAGATTGGGTAGCTAGGAACGGATAATTGGAGGATGGTTTCTATGAAAAACATTATTTAAAAATCGTATTACCAACACACGAGAGAGAGATAGAAAGAATTGTAAATAATTTATTTTTTAGGTTTTTTTGTTTTTTTTTTTAGTCAAATTGACCATCTTTATTTTTTATTTTATCGAACTTAATCGATAAATTTATAGAATTTTGTTTACAAATAATTAGATTTATATATTGTAGTCTTTTAATTTATAATATTAATCTTTTTAATTTATTTTAATACAATGCAAATGTGATAAATCATTGTGATTTATTCTTTGTTGTTGTTGCCATCCACCATAGTGGATTAATTTTTTGTTAATTTTGTTCTATTTTTCTTTTTTTTTTATTAAAATTTTTATTTTAAATATTTTTTTTCATGTCTTTTTTTTTAATTTAATTTTGTTATTATGAATTTAAGGATATTTAAAGAGAAATTGAAGGGAAAAGTAAGGAGAGAATACGTAGTAGACAGTTAAAAGTTTATTTTGTAATTTGATTGAGATATTTTTCATATTTGTCTAGTACAAATATGTATTACTTATACATTAAAAAAGAAAGGTAACAGAAAATTCATTTAATTTTCTTTTTTTTTTTTGTTGAAATTTTTCTCTCGTTGAAATTTTCATGATAATTTTCGATTGAATTTTTCTCGTATTATATTAAATTTGTTTGTTTATTTATAATTATATAAATTGAGATAATACGACGTATAAGCATTTATAGGATTTTAAGCATTAATACAACGTCGAATTAAAATTATTTCGTTTATTTGATTAATTAATGATTAATATCAATATTAATAATAATTCAGTCGTTTATATGTTCCAAATAAGTATGTGTGTGTATATGTGTGTGTGTGTGTGTATACATTCGGAAGATATTCTATGCTATTTCGATAAACGCAATTATTAATATTATTATAATAAGTATTATTATATTTCACTTAATTAACTATTCGATGACCAAAAATTTCTATTTTATTTTCAATGAATTGGACGCAAGATATAAATGTCGAGTATATCCACATAAAAATTCCCTTTCTATCCAAATTTGTTATAAAAAAAAAAAAAAATACAAATAAAATATATTCTTGTTACACATAACGATATATATCTATATTGTTTATAATTTTACGGGAACATTAATTTTATTATACAATTTTGCAATTTTTTTTTTGTTTTCCTTTATGCAAGAATGCAATTATTTTACTCGATCATATTTTTTGTTTTGTTATTATTATAATCGGTCATTTTTTGCATCGAACAATATTTAATAATAATCGTACAGATAAAAATCGTTTAAAAAAATATAAATATAAATATAATAAAAAATAGGAACTTCATTAAAACTAATAATGATTCGAACGATCATTTGGGCAAAGTAGGAACTATAATTTGTTACTTTTCGAATAAATACAGACTGATTCAACAACATTGGCGATTGTATAAAACGATATTTTGATTAATAAAATGTTATTTTTTTTTTCTGGTTTTTTTTTTCCTCTTTATATAACATAAATATGACCCACAGTCGTGTTATCGTTTCATTCGCCAAAAATGTTGATCTCATCGTTTCCAAAAGTCGTTGCAATTAATACTTATCTCATCTTATAATTATTTAATAATTAATAAATATATAGCTAATTATTAAATATACACTAATATCTAAAATACGTTTACGTGACATTAATGGGAATAATTTAATTTACGTTTGATTTGATTAATCTTTTGATTTATCGAGTTGAGCATGGTGGATCAATTTCGGTACGGGGTGTTTCAAAATCGCCTTTCCATTTTTCTAGAAGACCACGATCTCTGAAACTTTAACAAAAAAAAAAAAAAAATCAATTGTAAATTTGAATCAATTAAAAATAAGGAAATGATAAATAAAAAACACCAATCGTACCGTTCTAAAATCAATTTTCCAGATTCTTCATACTCCTGTCTTGATAACCACATTTGTTGAAAGGATCCAAGTGAGCTTAGTATTGAACCACCGATCCAAGCACCAAAACGACGTTCACTTGGACTATTGGCGCTGATTATTTTTAATCTCATACTCTGTCAAACAAGTCATAATGAAATAATAAATCCCTTTCAACAAAATAATGATAAATAAATGATTAAATAAATGATCGATTACCGGAGGTGTCTTACTGGCCAGATCTCTATTTAATCTTTCGCTGAATCCTTGCAAACAAGAATTACCTCCAGTTACCACAACGCTGCCGTACAAACTCTTAAAATCAATAATAAATTTGACGATTAGTTAAAATATTTTTCAATCATATTGTTAAAAACATTAATCGATACCTACGGGTCTTATATCCATATCACACATGCCAACACTTGTTGTTACTAATGGACCAACACCTAGAATGCTAGCACCAACACCTTTAACATTACTAGGATCAAACAATGCCTCTGGTATCATCAGTCTTACAGAACCAAAATCGTCGTTATAGCCAGTTGGAAATTCAAAATGTTTCATTGGTAAAGTGTTAGCCATGTCCTCGTCGTAAGGACTGTCGGAAACTTGTAAACAATTCATTTGAAAGTCTTGCAATAATTCGCGTACCATATAAGTTAACCAGGAAGTTGTTGGTTGGGGTCCAGGTCTTCTTGTCCAACGTGGTGGATCTCTTTCTCTAACCACATCTAAAGAAAAAATATAATTAATGATTAATTAATATAATCATTAGTATGGTATTAGAAAATATAATGAAGTTTATTTACCTTTGCTAGCGACAAGAGATGCAGGTACCAATTCGATATCTTTTTCTTCAAAAAATTGTCTACATTGCATCGTAATAAAATCACCCCCCAAAGGACTCTTAACAATTCCCTGTGTTATAACATAACCATCGTGAACCGGTACAGCACTCGTATGGGTTGCACCACTGTCGACAACCATTGCTGTTGATCTTCCATTAGCGTATGCAGCTAAAACTGCATTCTTACAAATGTACATTGCTGGAACGTTGAACTTCTCGAACATTAATTCTAAAAGTTTTTCTCGTTTCAATCTCGTATTCCAAGGACACTCCGTCATCAAGATTGGATGATGTTCTGGTAATGCGTGAAGACGTTGCTTGTAGGTGTACTCGGTTAAACGTTCGAACATGTCCCAATCTTCGACCATTCCATCTTTCATCATGCTGACCATTTCCATATCTTATAAAATAAGATATTTATTAATTATATGATATTTCATTTATTTATTTATTTAATTAAAAATTAAAAATCTAAATGTGAATGTATGATAAATAAATGTTAATTAAATCTACTTTCCACTCTCATCTAGATGATAATTAAATTTGAATATAATTGATAAATAAATAAATAAATAAATAAATAAACATAAAAAGAAGGGGTAGGGGGTGGATAGAGGACATTTACCCTTTTTACGGACTTGAATGGCGGTGACGTCGATGTTGTAATGTTTTCTAACAGTATGATTACATTCCGGTGAATCAACGGGATCCTCCCATACGCCAAGATTCGTTGGGATTTCAGCCTTTGGTGTATCCTCACCGCCATATCCAACGCGTAGGCTCTGATGTCCAACGTCGAAAATAATAGCACCTACCTCGTCTAATAACAATGAAAGAAGAAATGATTTTACGATATGTAAGTGTGTGTGGGGTGGGGGTGTATGTTTGTGGTATTATTAATTTAAAAAATTCATGATAATCCAAGTGTATTAGAAAAATACAGAAGAGCTTGCACTACTCACCACCACCGTAGACACCACCGCTCATAGTATCTGCCAGGAGGTATGGTTTCGCGCATGCTCAATCAAATTCCTTCCATGGTGCGCCTCCATACTGGGGGAAAAGCTTTTCATTATTATTCCTGCCTGGATCCATTCGATAGAACCGACCAACCAACCAACCAACCCCGACCTTCTCTTTCATTTTATGTATATATCCTTAACTTCCACTCGAATATCTTATACTTTATTTTATAGAAAATTATAATATTTGATTACTTTAGGAATGCATTTTTTCATGTAATTTTCTTTTGCTTGTTAATAATAATATATTTTTTAATTATTTACGATTTGTTAATAGTTGTAAAATGATCTATTATATGAATGTATAATATTAATAGAGATTAATCAGAGAGTAATCGAATATTTCATATTTAATGATTTAATAATAATAATAATTATAATATATCTAATATATCTATATTCTTTTGGCTGGGATTATTTATGGAAAAATTAAAAAAATAGGATTGGGTTTAAGGGTTTTCAATAGAAACGTTATCAATATGGAATTAGTGTTGTATATTTTACAAAGTAAATAGAATATAAACAATCTAAAGTTATCTAAAACACAATAGTACGAATTTCGTGGTAAATTATTTCATGTGTCATAAAGTAGACGATATATCAACAGGGCGAGTTCTCTCTCTCTCTTTCTCTCTCTCTCTCTTTCTCTTTCTCTCTCTCTCTCTTTTTCTCTTATTTGACTCGCGTCACCTAAATTCGAGAGTCGAAATAACGAGTACGACTGAAAAATGATTGATCGTTCACATTGTCGAGTGAACGAACGATTATTTTACTTATTAGATACGTTTTTTTTTCGCAAACTGATTCTCAAGATGACAACACATATTTAATACATATGTATTTTTTTTTCTTATTTTTTTATCTTTTTTTTTTTTATATATATCCGAAGGCTGCTGCTTCTGTTTCTGCTTCTGCTTCTGCTTCTGCGTCATATTATATTTTTATTTCATTTTTATTTTATCTTTTTTTTTCTTTTTTATTTTTTATTCTTTAATATTAATATTTATTTTATTTTATTTTTTTTTTTATTTTTCTTATATACTCGCAATGAAACTTCGCATTTGTTTTTATTTTGTTTACAACGCCGGGTCCGCCACCGATAAAATGAAATCGTCGACGGCGAGCAAATTATACATTTCGAACACGATATACTTTTACATATTTATTTGTTTATTCTTTAAATATTATTAGTATCTTTCTTTCTTGTTTTTCTTTCTTTTTAATCGTTGCTTAAGATTCGTGCGTATATCATTCGTTTAATTTACATTTCCTTTCTTTTTTCTTTTGCCACAACACGTCGAGGGTAAGAAATAAAAAAAAATAAAAAAAAATAAAATTACGAAATCAACGCGATCCCGAGTTTTTTACTTTCGTTTTTTTTAAATTTTTATTTTAACTTTAATTCCCTCTCTTTCACTCGCAATCTTTCTCTCTCTTTTTTAGTTATTGTTTTTTTATTTCATTTTTCTTCGTCTTCTTTCGTAGGATACCTTCGTACGACACTGTGCTCTGTTTTTTTTTTTTTTACATACATACGTAAATAACGTGAACGAATCTCATCATTTCTAAGGAGAATTTGTCTCGATGTCTCTCTCATTCTCTTTCTTTCTCTCTCTCTTTCTCTCTCTCTTGTTCTTTTTCTCTCTGTCTTTATTTTGTTTTATTTTCTCTCTTCTGAATTTCTAATTGGAAGACGAACACGTAAATACGGAATAAAAGTTAGCTCGTTGCTCGTGTATTATTTATTTATTTATTATTATTATTATTGTTATTATTATTATTATTATTAATAATATTATTATCATTATTATTATTATTATTATTATTATTATTCTTACTTTTTGTTAATACGAATAACATATATGTAAATACGTACGACGTGGGTGTAGAAAAATCCAAAGGAAGGAACTTGGACGAGTCTGATTTGGCGGACTCGTCGTGATTTGCGGACTCGTGAATGTCTCTCGAGGAACATCGAAGACAAATATACATACACACATGCACACGCACGCGCACACACACACATACATACATACATACGCATACACTTATATATGCATGTATTTATGCGTACGCAGTTTTAATTTATACACGTATGTATATAATAATTTTACTCTTGAGAGAGTTGCTGTTCGTTTTTATTTTTTTAAAATCTTTTTTTTTTGTTCATTTTGGCACGGGTTATTAGCTTATTTTTTCGTGTTATTTGTTTAAAAATTTGTTATCTTTTTTAATCATTACTTTTCACAAAATTATCGTTTCTTTTTCTCGATCGTGATGGTTCATATAATTATTAATTATCATTTTTATAAGACGGAGACGCGTTAAAATGAAAAAATGGCAGTTTAGAGCACACATGGTTGTTGAAGTTTAAGACGAGACGATGTTTTTGCTTCTGCTTTTGTTTTGTTGATAATAATACAGTCGGGCGCATTCTATGAGCGAGTTGTTTGAGGAACGCCGAGTAAGATTCGTCAAAGATCATCAAAACGGTGGGTAGGTGGACGGGGATGGGGGTAGGGGTGGAGGTAGAAGGCAGATAATTAATTAACGAGTGTCCTGATTAATTAACAACAGACGGACCCTAGCTCACATCGATATAATTAATTGTTAAAGTGCGACGAAGAGAGTAAAGGTAATACGATTGGACTCTGTTTCGGTTTTGTTTGTTTGTTTGTTTGTTTGTTCGTTCTTGCTGTTGTATCGTTAAGGGGGTTTTTGAATTAGCATAGCTTGAGAGATTTTTTTTTTTTTTTTTAGGTGTCTCTTCTTCGTTTAAGCGTTCTCGAACGTATGAGATTTACGTTACGGGTTTTTGTTTTTTGTTTTTTTTTTCATTTATTATATTTACACCGCGATTACGAAGTCACGGACATTTCGTTGGCTGCAGTGACCACGGTCAAGGTCGCACTCCGCTTCGCTTAACTCAAACGCGTCGGAGAAGCCCGAGGGTGGGTCCAACTTGGGGACGAACAGGTTTCCTGATCCGTCACGCTCCTGGTCCCGATTGGTACAGGGATTGCTCGACTGGTGCTTGGGATTGCCAATCCCGGTGATTGGCCCGAAGTTGGTACGGGTCTCCTCGCTGGGATGACGCGCCAACCGTAACATCCTATGTTTTTTACAAATGATAATTTCAATGGAAAAAACCTTCACCACTTACAAAATAAACGATCCATCTAATAATATTACGGAGATGAAAATAATTTGATGATTTTGTTTAACTTACTTGGGTCTTCCCCTTCCAGGAAACGATTTTCTCTCAAGAATCGGTGAGGGTTCTGTAGACGTGCTAGATTCTGGTCCATGGTACAAGAAGTCTAAAACAGACGACAATACGCGTTTATTTTGAATAATTTGTTTAAAAATTACATTCACTGAATATCTACGTTTTTATTTTTCTTTTTATTCATTTTTATCAAATAACGAACGAAGTGCGTACCACGCTTAATTCTAACACACGGAAAACATGGGAGAAAGGTAAATATAAGTGGGTGCTGTAAGTGCGTTAGGATCTTAAATCCAAGTTTTAAATTTTGATAACTTTGGATATATAACTATTTGGACGATCGACCTGGTTTTGAATTAATTGTGAGAATAGCAAAAAAAAATCAGAGAAAAATAAAAGAGAGAGAGAGAGAGAACTAGATAAAGAAAGATCAACAGAATTCAATCCAAGTGAATGAGATAGAATTAGATAAATAGATAAATAGATATATAGATAGATACACAAAGAAATAAAGTAGAAAAGAAAGAAAAAAAAAACTAAAAGAGGTAGAGAAAAAAATGATAAACTGCATACTGTGGACACGCGAATCGGCGGCAGATGCCGAATGGTGCGAATCGACGAGATGATTGGAAGACTCGGTTCGGCTGCTGGTCCCGACTTCCGTGTCGCTGTCCGAGCCCAGGGTGTCGTATTCCTCCGACTCGGACTTGCCCTGACTGACCTTGTGCGTTTTGTGCAAGGGTGCAGAGGACGAACGGCCTCCGCGTACCTTAGTGTACCGGTTGCAATCCGACTGCAATCAGACGGAATTTTGTGGTTTCGATGAATGGAACTTCGCACGAGATTTTTAACGAGGAGGACACGCTACACCGAGAAAAATGAGCCCCTTCCATCCCTCCCCACATTTATCTAACGTGTCCATCATCTTTCTCTATGTTTGCTGATGTTTTAGCTGATAGTTAATTTCGAACGAATTTTCGGAGTTACACTGCTATCCATTTCCTTCATCCTTTTAAGATCAAACAACACACGACAGTTCCTCATAGAATTTAGATCGTATTTACGTAAATACATCTCAAAGTTTACCCAATTGAATCGTATAGAGTGAATGAATGATCTCTAGATCAGGGCCACTGTAATTCGATTTTCCGTTAACTTCTTAGAGGAGTTCTGCATGAAACTACGTCGTCAGCGATAAAGAGAGGGTTAAAGAGAGTAAGTTAGTGAGATAGAGAGAGATAGATTGAGAGGATGAGAGGTAGAATGTAACTCTCTGATATTGATTTTAATTTCGAGCGTCGAGAAGATGATGAAGAAGAACGAAATTCGACAGTGAAAGAATGAATGAAAGTGAGAAACAATAAAACCCCCACCCTAGGCTAACTCTTGAGGTTTAACTTTAAAGGTGTGTTCAAAAATAGAATAGAATAGAATAGAAGTGATCCCTCGAGTGGCACTGATCTAGATTCTTAGGAATATTCCTATTTCCCCTTGTCCCCGTGTCCTCCCTTCTATTTTTCGTTACTTTTCAACGTTGGTCAAAGAATGATAGATGCTTTTTTTTTGGGATCGCAAAATGACGGAATCGGAGAGCTTGTCGATGTGATAGAGTGTTGTCGGTGTTGCGTTTCCTCGTTAACGGACTAATCAGGACATCTGCGAAAACGAAGCAAGGTGGGACCAGCAGTCGGCAACGATCGTTGAATTTTGTTTCTTTGACTTCTTTTAGGCTCGTTTATAACCTCTAATTTCTACTGTTCACGAATCTATTTCTTTGTTATACGAAACTTAAGAGATT